TTATTATTGATTTCATATTATTTATTATAGAAATGCTGTTCAATTGCTAAGTAATGTCTACAGCTGTGAATATTTTATTATGATATTGATTTGCAGTTGCGGTATTTCACACGATTTCAAATAACATTCACTCATACCCTCTTAATAGATTTTAAAGTTATCTATTATGAGAGGAAGTACACATGCTGGAGTAGCTTCTATATGAAATTATTTAGTTCGTTTCGCATACATTTGCACTTAGTGCTGTCGTTATGCAGCGTCAACACGACAGACGGGAAGCGTTGCAGACACGCTAATACAGTTCGCTGGCAATAAAAATTGCTACTGTCTGCGCATCATTGCTTGCAAGAAATCTGCATATGTTTGCATATATGGATAGCTGTCAAACCAGCTGTCAAAGTTAATGTCGGTATTTTACATTTATATACAGTACATTTCGGTGCTATGCAAAGACTTCAATTGAGAAACACTTCAGGCTCACTAACTTCCAAATGAAGGTTTAACAGTGGCCTATACTTTTTAAGATGGTTTTCCTTCCTCGAATCCAGAGCAAATGACAAGCATAATAACGAAGCTTTATAAGGCCAACTATACTATGTAACAACTTGCATGATTTTCCTCCTCCACTCCCTCCTAACTGGCTTAAAATCTATTAAAAAAACTCGTATTTCTCTTAAAGAGAATACTCTGTACAAATAGTAAAATTATGTAAATATAATTTTCGGTTATTGTAATTTAAACCCCTTTCTCTGTACTCTGAAAATTACACAATATTTCTAAAGTAGTCCTCCTTTCATTTCTGAGTGTAACGTAGGCAGCTACAACAAAAATTAAGTGAAATTTCTCGCGTGACTATCAATGCAAACGAAAAAGGTAAAGGAAGACATTCGGTGCAGACAGTTAGTAAACACAAAAAGTAAAAATAAACACAATTTGCAAAATGTCATAAAGGACTCATGCTTCAAATAGTCACCGACGCAAAACCGTAGACCGAATCAGCTGATACGACCTATCTTATAAGAGTGCAATGTAAATCAACACCCACCACCGCTTTTACCGACCGTTTCTACAGACCGTATGGTAGGATATCCGCGAAAATTGTATTTTTCCCGTAGAAATGAGGGAGCTGAAAGTGAGAGAGCAATATCTTGTAACGAAGGGTTGCCAGTCTCGATATTTTGTAGTAATTCATAAATATACTTGAATATATTTGAAATATTCTTTTAATAACTCAAAACCACAATTTTTAATAGTTGGATTTTAGTTTTGAGCTTTTACATTATGAAAAATATAACTAAATGTGTGAAAAATCGGGCATACAAAATTGAACAATGGCAACATTGGTGAAATGAAAACAAAATGGAACAGCTGATTTCTACGTTGCCACTACTGGAATAACTTTTGACATATTTTGTTTAATATGGTCGGTAAGTAGGGAAAGACGGTATGTTGGTGACTGTTTGAAGCATCAGTGTCTACACTCTTGAATAGTACCCTACAGGAAAATGCCGGTTAAAACAAGTACGGTGTGACTGAAAAAAAATCAGTGCTTTCATTTTATTTTAACAAAAATATTTCAAGATTTAACATTGCGAGTTTTCAGCTACTGATCTGGTAAAACTTTTTCCAAAACACCAAACATCTACGAAGTAAGAATAAAAGCAAAAATATTTCTGATAGAGGTAGTCCTGATAGAGGTAGTCTATTAACTGCATAATTTTTACTCTCCTCTGCGAAGTGCGTAAAATTTTTTGTTTTAAATGTTATTTTAGACTGCCAACCAACTAACTGGTAGAAGTTTGGAATTGGAAATTTACACTAGTTTCTGCAGGGTATGTTAGCGCTTACTATTCTACTACAACCACACATATACAAATCCAATATATGCAAGCTATTGTTCAGCGCAAAAATTGCAGACATTTCTCATTTAAAGCATTTGCCTTTTGTGTTGTTATATAACTCATGCGAATGTCTGAAATTATGACTTCGGCACAATAGCAGCATTTCAGCTGTCAAGTAGGCGCTACAAGCGCAGCAAGACCCCCACGAAGCGTGCTAAATGGAAACGGTCTTGCTAACTTTGCTAAAAATAATTGATAATTAGCGCATGTCATGCAATTTGTTTTGCACGCTTCATTTGCATTCTTTATCTTTGTTCACCGACAGGTATTCACCATAAACTGGTGAATAAATGATTAACGGGCGGTAGCGGCTAGTCGAGTACGCTGTTCTTGACAGAATAGCGCTGCTTGAATGCTTGCGGGTTATAACTGTCAAGCCCATTAGTTAGTGGATTGTAGGCTTATATAACAACCTAATATGGAGTGTTTGTGAGCAGTTTTAATAAGAATAATTCAGCTACCGATGAGCTCCCAACAAAAGAAAAAAATTCTGCTACAAATTAAATATCATATTTATTATAAGATAGACTAGCTAGAAATTTAAGAAAAAACACACATCCTTGCAAGAAAAAACTAAGTGTGAACCGCCTCACTGCTGTGTACAAGCGCAAAGCAAATAATTCATGCCTACGCTCCCGGAGTCAAAGGAGGCGCATCATATTTACCACGCACCATTGACGCCACAACGGCAACTTTACGCATTTTTATCAAACGGCGATAAAACCGTGCGAGTGGAAGCCAAAGCAAACGGCGCAAAAGCCGTTCAGGAAGAAAGCCATTAACTTTGCCGGCCATTAAAGCAATGTGAGCAAAAAAGCGCAAATCATTATTGTATTTATCGCTCAGTGCCAGGAGCAGATGCATACTTAGCAAACACACACTCACACGCAATTTGCGTCGATTATTTAAAGCCGTTAGATGGTGGAAAGCAGTACCTTTTACATAATGGAACATGTCATAATTTGTCTGATTACGGTATGCATGGCAATAATTTTTTTATATCCCTCAAGCTGCTGTACCTGTGTATTGCTTGAGATGAAGGTAGACGGGAAGGAAAAAAGCATATTTGCAGCTTTTCGACAATTTCGCAGCTTAATCATGCGAAAAACGATTTTTAGAATTTCATAGACAGGTACGATGTATCGTTAGGAATGGGAATAATAATTTACTGAACTTGTGGAACACATGTCGGCTATTTCAGGGTTCGCAATAGCGCATCCGACTTTCTTAGTTTTCCCAGCCCGCAGTCCGGCTTTCTATTATTATTTACACAAAATCTGTATTTCACGGTTTCACAGAAATAGCAATTTCGTGTACCATATATATATACAGTAAATATCTCTTGAGCATACAAAGAGGATATTATTCGGAGCCTAGAAGCGCAGCATTTCATATATTATTTGCCCTAACTGCCTTATAATCAATCAGTAAAGTTACTATAAATGCTCGAAACTCAAAGGTTTTCGATTGCAACTTTGACCAATATAAAACGCCTAACTGCTATTTATTTATAGAGTCTCGCTTATAATTGACATTTATTTTGGTCAACCTAAAATATTCTTAAGTGTTGCTTTTTTCGAAAACTATAAACTATTTCATTACCACTGCCAAAGTCGAATCCATCATAAGTAACTTAATAAACAGCACTTATACTTTTTTTTATTAACCAATAAATACACACGCACACATGTAAACAAGCAGATGACATAATTGGAGCCCTCCATTGCTCATTGCTAGCATACTAATGATTCCAATTGCTTTGTTTATCTTTTGAACATGCCAGTCGCACGCTAATGGAATGTCGAAATAGTTTCGTAGAATTTTTCCACAATCAAAGCGCCATTGCGCAAGCTTACACATACCAAAAGCAATTTATTGAGGGTCAAGAGCAAGTAATTGTGATTTAATAAAAAAATTATGGTTGTAGTACTAATAAGCCTACGCGCATATCTGGCAGCTGAGCGTAGTACTTTCTGTATTGAAGACTTCCGTATGTTTTGCGATAAAAGCTTGATAGGATAGGTGATTAGATAGGGAAGCAAAACCAAAAAAAAAAAAACAAAAAATCTATACATATATCAAGGCAATATATATTCAAAACGCTTACAGCATTTTGTTTTTGTATGGCTAAGCTAACGATTGTTTATAAAATGTGCAAATAATTTAAAAAAACATAAGCTAGAAAATACCATAGATTTTTTTTTATAAACATCTATCAAAATAATAAGAAAGATACATAGTATACGCCAGTACGTGCAAGCGATGAACTGAAAAATAGATATAGCCTTGAGATATTCTAGATGAGATTGAACCATTGGCAAGCGCACAGAATAGTTTGAATCACCAAGCACAACATGCTATAAATATGTAGCCAATTAAGCTACCAAGCTCAAATTAGTCAAAAAATCGTGCAAGGAACGGGCTTAAAATTGTATGCTTGGGCTTTATTTACAGCTAATTTGAAATATTTTAACAAATTATTTTATATTGATAAAGCTACGATGCAATTGTTTGACAAAAAGGATTAACAGTTAAGCTAAGCTCTAATATAACGGCTTTGAAAATTTTTTTAGATAATAGAAAACGATAGAAAATGAATAGTTCATAATATGTGTCATATGTGAACCGATATTATATAATCTAACGTCTGCAGTCGACTTTTAGATAAATATTTTAATAACTCAGAAAATATTCTATCAATTTTGAGTTAAAATTAAATATACTATTTTTAATATTCACTCATTGCAACTGGAAAATGTAAATATCGAATAAAAAGCACGCCTCTTTTGCATATAATGTCATTTTAAAATCGCTCATCTTTAACAGCTCTTTATAAATTGAGCTCTAGTAAAATTATAAAGACTTATTTTGACACACATGGTAACCCTGAATGTGCGGATTAGAGCTAAGACTTTGCGTACCAATAAAAAAATAACTTCATTACACCGTTTAAAAGAGAGTTAAGGAAATATATGAGCCGAGTTCATATACTTTTGCCACCAAATGCCATTATGCTTTGTTTCTTTTGTGCCTTACTATTAATTACTCAATTCCGAGGTTAACATTCTATTAACAAATTGATATTAATTCTCGTTTCAGCAACACTCTGGCAACCTTAGCACCTAATGCATAAAACAAGTGTGATAAATATTTAATTCAACCAAATTTTAGCAATCGTTTAAAGCTGCATAAATACAAGACTGTTATAACAAAAATATGCAAAGCGACTTTCCGCAGCGCGTCATCAATTCCAAGCGAGGATTAAAAGCGAGTTAAATGTGCATTAGTTGCAAGCCAAAAGTAACAAGCAAATTGAATAAATTATGAGTGAATTGTAGACGACAGTCGTTGAGTGCATAATGTGAAGTTTCGTGACGTTACCAACGGTCGTTTAATAACAAAACGTTAGCTAACGATCTCAAACAAAAAAAAAAAAAAACAATAAAAATAATAATTAAATTTGCAGCACAAAACGCTTAAGTTGTGAAAAGATAGGCAAATCTCCATAAAAAACAGAATACAATATTAGACAAAAAGAAAATAGAATAATATTTAAAAATTAAAACTATTGTTTAGTAAGCGGCGTGCTTAAAAATGGATGAGGAAAAGTTAAACACACCGTTAGTGTCGAAGGAGACATCCGACAGCGCAATTATCGCGCCACAAGCCGCCGCCGCCGCCATAGCCACAAGCGTAGCGGAAACAGTTAGTGTGGGCGACAATAGCATACCGACTGCTGTCGCGCAGCCAAGACAAGGTGCCGCCACCACTATGAATGCAGCCACCGATGCGCTGAATGGAACAGCCACAACCAATGTCAATTTGAACGCAAATACTCAGTTGAGCATAGCAGCGCCAGCGTTGTTGCAGCCGCAGCCGCAGCAACAGCTACAACAACTAACACTACTGCCCTACAGCAACCATACAAATTTTGTTGGCAACAATCTGAAGAATGGCGCTCTAAGTCACAAGTAAGTATGGCAGCAGTATTTTCAACAATTTCATTTAGCAGAAAACAAAAGTTATTCATACGCCATGGCGCACGCTTTTTCCGCGAAGTGTGGCGTTGCAAGGGCGCGTGTCTATTCACTCGCCGCCACTTTTGTTTGGGTTTACGCACTTAAGTTCTGTGCTCTGTTACTTTTAGTGCGCCAGTTAGCCATGTCTGTCCTTGCTGTGGCATTATGCTTGATTGCGTTTGCAAAGGAGAGGATATATCATTTATAAAGTTGTAGAACTGTAAGGCATCTGAAAATATAATGTGAAGCTGTAAACATTTTTTGTACGGAAATTTTATTAAATACAGCTGTGGGAAGCGGAAATGAGCGCATATTTATCATATATGTTATATATTATATATTATATATATGCTAGCAATGCAGGGTGCACATGTGATGGTATTGATTATCAGTTATAGACCTGCTTTCCAAACTTTTTCCAGCTGCATCTCTCTCTCTCTTTTGGAAGCAATTAACATGATCTTTTAATAGCACACAACACCCTACATAAATTAGCTATTTTATTTTCATTATATAAATATTCTACTTTGGGAAATAAAATAAAACTTTTAGTTTGCTCTTTTAAACCGAGCCTTTGTGACCTTTATAGGAACTTTCCGGTATAAACTGCAGCGAAGCAGCATGATATTGAAAAGAAAAAGCTGCAGTTCGTATCATTATACATTCATTATATATTCATCGACTACACTTTGCGACCATAGATACTACTTTTCTAAAGAGAACCTGCGAGTTAATTTTTGATTCGTCAGCACATAAAACATTTTTCGTTTGGCAGACAGTTTTTGGAGTGGCGAATTGAGCATACAACCCGCATAAGACATAATCGTATAGAGCTGAAATAGCAAGCGGTTATACCACTCTCTAACACTGAGTCCAACTTCTCGAACTATAAACCGTTGACAACACTTTAATATAATTGGAAATTTTTAAATTCATTACGAGATTTCAAGTCAACATTTTTATTATTTTGAATTGCAAATAAGAAAGTAATGTTAAATATGCACGCAAACACGAATGCTATAGTACTTTGAACACATGAGTGGCAAACTCACGCGTGAAAACTGCAATTTCGCAGATCTTAGAAACATTTTGCATGCACATAGTGTGTGTGTTAGGAAACATATTTGCACAACTATATAACTTTCTAATAATAAAATATGCTGATATGCATTTCTTCGCAATTTCAACTCGAGCTTTGCTGACTAACATAGTTTCAAAGCCACTTGAAAAGAAAACTGCTATGGGAATGTGTTAGAATTTGCATGTATGAATTTACGAACCAGCAAGATGCATCGATTTCCCCAGCAGCTATGCTGCACTCACGTGAAAATAAAAAGTTTCTGCGCAACTCGAAATATAGCTGCTTGCTGCAATACAACTTAATGCGAATGGCAGATATTTGTCATTAATTGTAAATTTCTGAAAAATAGTAATAATAATTAGATTATGCTAGATGTTCGATATTAGTTTGCTGCACTTTAATAATACTGCACTTTAATATTAAAGGTGTTGCAATAGAATTTTAATAGCTCTTATTTTGACATTGATTATCAGCATTGTTTCAATTACACAAATATTTCATTATGCGATCACGTGATGGAAATCTAGTTTTCGCCTATTATTAGTGCACTTATGTACATAGTAAAACTGTGAATTTCTTGAATCACTCTTAAAAGAAAATTCCGATTATTATAGTGAAGGCTAGTTTTATTGCCTGTAACAGGTGTGCTTGCCGCTGAGCACTTGTATGTTAAGCCAATAAAAGAGTAAAAAAAAATAACTAGTACTTGTAGTAGTTCAAACTTCAAGTGAGCGTTGCAAGATATTTGCTAAACTTTCTTGCAGTCCATAAAACTGATTAAAGGCACGCTCACGAAAATGTTAGCAAAAGAAATGCTAAAACACTTAGGGTGTGTTACTGTTAAATACGGCAACAAAATAATCGTATATGTTGCGGCTTTGCGTGAACCAAGTTATGGGACAAATCATCAAAAAGGTAAGGGCTATATGAATATGGTGGGGTATAAGAATTTAGTTACGACAATTTTAATGGGAAACTTTTAGTTTGCAAGTTTTTCATGTGTTTGTGGATACATTTTGATTGGATTTTCCGTTCATTGATTATTTATTTGGTATATATTTGGATAAATTGGATAGTGTGCGTTTCTTTTACTAAATAAAGTTAACCTATTTTTTCGACATACACACCGAATGGTCATCAAAGTAATATGTGCACGCTGGAGTTATTGCGCACCAAGCATGGAAAGTACTGCCACACTGTCAGTTACCACCGACAAATTCCGCCAGAGGTGTTTGCCTAATAACGTCAGCTGTGACTTTTGTCTATTATAGGAAAACAGCTGTTCCAATCAAGCAAAAGTAAATAAAAGAAATACTACTAAAATGGATTTACTATGAGATCGGCCAGTCTTAGCTGCAATCAACTAAATACGTACCATATTGGCTCAGTACTAAGTAATTTCTACCTCGGCACATAGCTGAAATAAATTCTTAAAGCTGAAAGTTTACACCACCACAACATGATCCACTCAAGTCGAGGAATGTAGGTCGACTACAACAACAAGCAAGTTGTTGAACCGAATTTTCGAAATTTTTTTTTGTTCATTTTGCTGCTCACCTGTGCCATTTACTAATGTTTATACCGTTATGCCATGAGAACAACACGCCACAAAAATAGTAAAACAGAAGCGAAGAGCTAACGGTTAACAAAATAGAGTAAATATTATAGTTTATTTCGTACTCGTCAGCAAGAAGAAGTGAAAACCCACATTGCAATTACCGTTGCGCTGGTGAACAAAAACTGACCTAAAATACAACATGAACTTTTCAAAGCGCATACAAACGACTGTGAATGTACTCGTATGTGCATAAGGACGACTGCCTTAAAGGATGCACGCTATAACTGTTAAACTTTTGCATTTAGTCAATGCAAATCGCAGTAGCTTAGTAACCGAACGTAGGGTGCGCTGACACGCAAGCAGTAGAAGCGCCTGTAACGGTAGTGTGATAGTTAAAGGACAGTGCTCAGGCAAGCGGTGTGCTTTTAAAAAAGGGTAGTGAAGATGGGAAACTAACGAAAAATCGGCAAAGCAACAAAAATCGAAAGTGCTTGCGTGCATGTGACGGCATGTGTTTTATTGGCAACGCTGCCAAGTACTACCGCACTTCCTCACTACCCTGCTGTTGGTGGCAAGTAATGCACAACACAACAGCTATAACGGTTACCGATTCATGTTGATTTTAACCACCCCTGGCACCACGCCTCGCCTATCGGCCACGCCACCGGTCTAATTGCCAGCCAACTAGTCTGCCTGCCAAACGTTCGACCGCCGCACGCTTGTGCGCCACTTTCAGTCTACGCCGAACCGCCGACTCGTGCATAATTCGTACAACTCACACATGCGAATGTACTTGACATTTCGGTATTTCTTCGATTTTTCTAAAAGTAGAAGCAGCCGCAGGTATTTAAATAAATCTGACAGGCGAGTATTGTGCTTGCAGCGCTGTGCAACTATCTAGTGGCTAACGAATTTTAGAATACGCTAGCGATCGCGAAGTGCACGCGCACTTGAAATACCAAATTACAACGGCTAACTTCGTGTGTGTGTGTGTGTGTGCGCGTGTGAGTTCGATATATCTGCTGTCCTCGGCAAGGCAGCAAAGTGCAAATGTTATTCAAGTGAAAGAAATATTAAAAAGTATGTGAAAATATTGTGAAATTTAATTACATAACAGACAAAACGCCAAAGAGGCGTCGCAGGGCGCGTTGGCATCACAGCAGCAAGTGGCGTTCACAGTGCAAAAGTGCCTTAAGGTGGAGTGCAAATTAATATTTTGAAATGCCACACACAATATGCCGGCCACCAGCACACATATATGTATATATATATGAAAGTAATTGCCGGCTTGGCTTGTGGCGAAAAGCGCTGCGCTCTGTACATGCATAAGTACTACGTGTCGTATGAGTGATATTCAGGTGCAAAGCTCCTGCAGCGCTTGGCTGGTCGTTGAATGTGTGCACCGCTAAATAGCTTCGTTACGCTTTATGAGCGCCCCTTATTATTGCAAATTTTAGTAATTTAGTGTGTGCTTGCCTTCGGAAAATACTTTAAATCGACTGTGCTGCTATTGTTGTAGAATAATACCAGTTTTCAGCTTCAGAATGTCAAGTAGATATAAAAAAAACGTATATATACAATTTTCGAAATATATAACGGTACAGTTTAGCTCAGAAGCGATAGAGCAATATCGCCACTCTTACGCCCGCTTTTTCTACACATTTTCTTAGTAATTTTTCACAATCCTCCTAAATGTAGGCAACGCTTTCTTGTTATGAGAGCTTCAGACTGTATAATTCCAAAAAATTGGATTTGTTATAATCCATTAAACTTTATTGTAATCCAAGTCATTCGATATTAAAATATAAAATGTTGCTGCTACGCGGAAATTAAAAAGCAAAATATATATTATAAGCTTATGCTGTTAAACACAAAGTGACAAAATGAAACACAACCATTTTTCTACCGTGGGCAGCAATAATTAAACATCAACACAGGCAAAACGAAAACAAATACAACAATAAAACAAAATTTTATGGCAGTAATCGATATCTGTAAACGTCACACGCTTATCGTAAAGTACTGTGAACAGACAACATTACAAACAATAAAAGAAGAACGTACATGGACACAAAATAAAACGAAAAAAAAAAATATACTATAGAACGATTTTTACCTCATTAATAAAGCGTAAGTGGCATGGATTACGTCGTTGACAGTGAAATCTTGCAGATGGCATTAAAAATCAAAAACAAAAGTGTAGATCCTTACCGACATACGTATGAATACTCAACAGCAAATACAACAAAAAAATTACTTTAAACTACAAAATCACTGGTTTTCAGTGAAACACTTACATATATTGACATTATT